TTTTTCCGCCAAACGCCATGGGTCTGGAGAAGAGAATGAGAGAGTGATCCATGCCACACGCCATGGATGGATCTTGTTTTATTTTCAAGGCTTAGAGAATCTCACAAAGTGAGTAGATCTAGAGTTTTCAAACCAAGCTTGAACCTTTGAAACCCCTAACATGAATCTCAACCCTAGACCCTTCTTTCTTAGCATTCTTACATCTTCTTTAGTCATTCGCTTGATATTCGCCGCATCCTGGTCATTAGTTTCTTCATACTTGCATTTTTAGATGAAATCGATCCAAACTGCTCGATCTAGTGGTCGATCCTGTGGTCGATCCACTAGTCAATTTTTGTTAAATCATAGCCTTGCATTTTAATTATTCTGTTTGTTCCTCGTGGTAGTTCAGTCACTCTTGGTAATTTTAAAAATAGTTTTGCATTCCATTCGGTCGTTGCACATAGTTTTTAGGATTTTCACAATATTGTTTGTCATTCGCTTAACTTTACACTGCTCTTGCATTCTCTTTGACCTTCCTAGCTCCTAGAATTGGATTGACTCTCACTTGCATACTGTACTACAATCTAAGTGTTGCATTTGAGTTTTGATAGCCCAATTGCATCCTCACCCTTGCAAAGAAAGTTGTTATCAAAGATGAGAAAGAGCTCACGAACAATTAAAACAGGATATACTTTCTAGTCGATGGTCAGCTTTCAATACCATATATTTCACAGAACGAATCACAAAGAGCATAAAAGATCAAGAGACATACCTGGAAAATAGTTTAAAGAAGTGTATGTAGTGAGTTATTGTTTCCAGCAGTTCCAGCGAGAGATGAATTGATTTGATTTCTGATATGAAAGCAAACCCATATTTAATTATCACCTGAAATCAAAGCACAAAGTTTCAAAATATGTATAGCATTTCAATGGAAATTGATATCCCAATCTAACCTTAGATTGAAGAGCCCTAAACCCTATAAATTTGAATAGCATTTCAATGGAGATTGATATCCCAATCTAAACCCAAAAATCAATTACAATCAAGGTACATCACATCGACCCACAAAGACGAGTTCTATTGAATCGAAGACAGAAACGAGTTATGTTGAATCAGAGATTCTCACCTGAGAATTAGAGTGACGAGAAAAATGAGACGAATACGATAATGAGGTTTATTGAATCAGAGACATAGATGAAACTCAGTTTCGCCGGAGATAAGATTTGTCGCGACGGAGACAGAGAAGAATCGAATCAAAGAGGGAGCTGAGATTATCAACGGATCAAGCTATGTTTTTGAATATTGAGGAAAACAAATCGGAGATGGAGATGAGATTAAAGGAAATGAATAGAATAATAAGACGAATCGAACCAGAGAGTGAGCCGAGATTAAGGAGAAAGAATCGAAGACGAGAAAGAATAAATCTGCGGCAAAGAAAAGAACAAGCGACGAGGATATTATTTTCTGATTTAATTTTAATAAAAAAAATTAAAATTGCATCGCTTTTTTAAAAAATGATGCAAAGAAAATATATCTAGCATCACATGTAATAAGTGATGTGAATCGTTTTTTTTTTTTAACTATTTATGTCAATTTTGTATGTGATGTTATAAAACTGACCTATGTAACTTCTGAACCGGAGTTTTATCCTCTCTCAAGTGAGCATGATGAGCAGGTCGGTGATGGTGTGGATCAGCCATTGTATCTGAGAAAACATAGCAAGAAAGGTAAAGTGATTAGTAATGTAATAGGTGGTTAAGTCTAAGCAAGAACATAAACTCAACTATCCAAACAATCCTAGATTGGCAACGGCGCCAAATTAAAGATAGACTTTTGCAAGTCAGAAATCAATTCATCTTCTAATCAGATGTAGTATAGATGAGGTATCAATCAAAATTAGGAGTTGGCTAAAAGAGATGCAAGGAACTTAGCTAAGCTTAACCATTATTGAAGGAAATGAGGTTTTCTAACAACTCAAGTGAATAAGAGAAAATGCACAAGCAAACGAGTGATTAAGAAAGACTAGAGAAAGATTGATAATGCAAGCAAACTAAATGCAATAGGAAATAGAAAAGCAAGATGATAGAAATGCAAGAATTAAATGGAAACTAAATGCACGAGCTTGAAATGCAAGGCAAGAAATAAAACTAGAGTAATGCAATAAAAACAGAGGAAAAACATAGTACAGGTGATTAAATGCAAAGGATGAAATGGCGAAGGTTCAAGGCTAGAGCAATAGATGATTTGGAGATTGTTTAATTTCATACCAAGGGGAATCAAATTAGAAAAAACCAAAGTACATAAACCACTAATTCAATCAATTTGCAACAAGGCAAAGATGTCTAATTAATGCACATGTCAAACCCACTTTTGATGGTGTATTTGTACAAAACTAGCATGATCAACCAGACTCTTAAAGATCAAACAATCTACTATGATGCAATCTAATCATCTAAGCAATTGTCCCTAACTTAGTCCTTTCAAGCAATCAAACAAACACTGGAACAGACACTTATGATATATTTCACCCTAGATGAGTTACTCAAGCACTAAGAACAACCAAGCAAGGTGTACTAAGCAAGCACTAAGCACAAATCCCTTAAACAATCAACTAATCATCCCCGAATCTGCTCCAACCTTGAACCATAGATAACCACTCATTACTCATCTCAAAATCAACAGAACAAGGTGAAATCAACAAAGCAAACATGATCAAACAAAAACCAGAAGGTGAATTACAAGGGAAATGAAAACTTTATTATAAAGAGTGATCTTGATCAAAATCTCTGTGTGGTTCTCCCACAGCTCGAAAATGGGGATTAAAACAAGATAAGTACCAAAAAAAGGATAAGCCAAAACTAATATAAGTGAAAAGATAAAGTTTTGGGAAAAAATGGAAATAATTAGTCAACAGCACGGCGTTGATGAAATATGGACAGATATTCTACTCGATGCGTCCTGCTCGATGCAGTCTGTCTCTGTCTCGGCTCGGTTGTCCGGATGGTCCTTCATCATCAAGTGGGTCTGGGGTCGTATCGGGCAAAGAGTCGGGGGTTCTGCTCGTTGATGGATCCTGATATGTCTTGTTTCTCTATATCAACCTGTATGGCCTCCCCTGCTCAACGTGGTATCCCGATGTAATTCTGGACTTCTAGATCAAACCTCTTGCTCTTCGTCCTGCGGTCCATATCGGGCATATTTTGGGAGTGTTCTGGTCCATGCACCACCCCGATATAGAATCAGAGCTTGCGTGACAGCTTCTCCAAGACATCTTCCTAGACATTTGTGGCTCCAAACTTCTTCCAGGCTTTTAATCCTCCAAGTGCACGTGAAATAAACTTCAAACATGCAAATGTATGCATTCTTAATCTAAATGCATGCATGGCTACTTCCAGAAGCAAATGGAGCTAAAATGACAAGAAATAATGCAAGAACAAGAGAAAGTAAGAAATAATGCAAGAACAAGAGAAAGTGTGTATAAAATGCATCCTAAAACACTTACAATATAGCAAGCTATCAATTTCTTGCGTCACGCTCGTGTGGAGATAATTGTGTACATTCCGTCGTATGGTGTGATTCTTACTTTGCTTGGGTGACGAGTTAGAGAGTCGATTATCGTCCGTGTGAAAGGGGTGTTTTGGGCTTCCTTCAACATGCGGTCCATCTTTGGTGCCAAAGTAGTTGTCTGGTGGACCGGGGAGCTCATTTGTCGTTATTGGGCTTTTAAATGTTCAAGTTCGTTCTCTCACTGCTGATTTTGGCGATGGAGACCGTTGATGGCGATTTGTTGCCGATCCGGCTGTTCTTCATTTCGGCTGTTGTAGTCTCTCAGTAATCCTTGGTTAACTTCAAAGGTCGGTCGATTTGCTCGGTCAGATAGGCAATCAGACCCCAGAATAATACTCGTTGCAGACCCAGGGTACTATGTGTTTGAGCTTGCGTCTGCCCATTATTGGTGTTGTGGAGGTCGTCAATTATACTGTGGCATATGTGTTGGGCCGTGGTTAACTTTTCGAGTCGTTCGTTCATTTTGCGGGTCTTCTCGGATATATGAGCAAGGAGTATCTAGAGTAAGTTTGATAAGTCGGACTACACTGGAGGATCGCCGGGTTCAACCCTGCTGGCCTTACCTCATTGATTGTGACGGGCGACATTCTCGTTGTGGGAATCAGTCTTTCTGATGCTGTTAGGAAGGCAGGACCCGTCGGCGGCGTATACGTTCGATAAGTCGAGGCCATTGATATTAGACATGGTTCTGGTGCTGGCTCTCTCACAGTTTTCATTGAAATATACTCCCTTGATACTGAGGAGGTCGGCAAGAATAACGGTGAGAAGGTCGGCAAAAATGACGCCGATGAGGTCGGCAAGAACAACGTCGACAAAGTTGGCAAAAGCGATGCCGAGGAGCGATGTTGAGGAAGTCGACAAGAGCGATGCCGAGGAGATCGATAAGAGCAACGCCGAGGAGGTCAGCTCGCAAGAAGCTATTATAATCGTCACACCGGCTGCAGGTGAGGTCTGTTCTGTCAATTTCAAAATTGTTTTGTGCTAAACCGATTTCGAACCCGAATGCTAACGTTGATAATGAAATCTAATTTTTAAATAATACGATTTATTAATTTAAATGAACCAAATGATTAAACAAGGCAAAAAAAAATTAATTTTTTTTAAATTTAAAGCATGTTTAGAACTTAATCGAATGAATCTCAAAAAATAAATGTTTATCTTTACTTTTTTAATATAGTATTATTTATAATAAATCCTGATGAACTTCGTGGACTCTTGATCTTCCACGACTCACTTGGGCCGGGAATCTAATTTGGACCGAACTAATTAAATGGGCCTTTTTAAAACCTAGTTTTAACGATTATCAAGCACACAAGCTTCGATAATCCCTTAATAAACAATTAAGCAAGCTATTTATACGCGAGTAAACTTGTCGAGATATAGACATTTCCACCACATACTGCGGACATTTATGGTTGTTTTGGATGACATACTGGACCGTTGAAAGTGGGTTGAGAGAAGGACCATTTCTAACGCTACTAAATAACCTTGAACGAGTAAACTAACAGCACGAATGTCTTGGAAAACTGCAACATATTTAAGAGTTCAGCATTCTCTAGATACCGAAGAGAACAAACAACTTATATGAAAACTATAAGAGAAGCGATTGGATGCAAATTGCAATGAAAAACTTAAAAAGAAATGAAACGTATCAAGGCCAAGAACCCGCAAAAAGAATAAAACCATCTATCTTAACTTCAGCTCAAGAAATTGTTTTATATATAAATTTAAGCGCGGGAGTGATGGCATTAGGCATTAGCAGATATTTCCTAAGCAGTCTTAGGCTTTGGCTTGATACGCTTCACTCTTGAGTATAAGAAAACTCCCGCAAGAGCGATCCCGGTTCCTACAGCAGAGCAAGATCAAAACAACAATGAGCTTCAAAATGATCGTGTAAAATGGGTTCACTAACCGAGAAATAAGACTGAAGATTTACCGAAAGCATTCACAGGCGAGACCGGTGTCTTGAAGAATATGACAGAGCTCACGATAACCACGACACGCTTCACACAGTTTCCTACAGAATGTGTAACCGGTGATACTCTTGCCAGTATCATGTAAGACACCTGTAGTTTCCACATTTCATCAAAAAATCGATTCAAAATGTTTAAATGCGCTCAAGTGAAGCAACAAAATCAGTAAGAGAAATTTCGCCTCACCTGCTGGTACGCGTGGAAGCAGAGTGCAGCAATAAGAGACTTTGTATAGATTTGTTGAACATTTACACCCTGAAACCGAAATGACGTTGTTTGTGTTTGGAAACATTTGTGAAGGATACTAAAGAAACTAATTTAACAATATATGAAAACTTACAGCTGATTGGATGTATGAAGGAGTGAACTTGATTCCTTCGGAGAAGAAAGTCACAGGAGCCATAAGAAAGAGAGACATCAATGTAATTATAGAGAAGAGGGTGATGTTGTCCAAAGAATCCTGCCGAGACGAAACATCATCACGTTTTGTTTTTATTTTCTCAATCCACAATATGTTGTTGTCGAGAAAAATTTTGATCCATGCGCAGGGAACTTACATCTTTCTTAACCATGACTTTTTTACTAAGCACGTTACGGGATTGGTTAGTCAAGTTTGAAGCCATGGCGCTCAAAAAGCCAGCCCTGCCACACAAAACAATTAAACGTAGTAAGTATCTGCAAGTTATCTGAAGAATATAGAATCACCAACTCAAATGTTATAATACTCGAACAAACTTACCAATTGAATGAGACCTCTGTTATTGAAGCAAGTGCAACTCCACCAACGATTGGTATAATGGAAGCGATTACCCATGGAGTAGGAATCTAAGAAGAAAGTATTAAAAAATAATTGCTTTGAAACACTAAAACTGGTGAAGTTGTAAATGTTTTACACAGACTCAACAAAGGCAACAACTAATCAGAAACACATAGCAACCCATAGGACTGAGCAACAAGCAACTCCGAGATGAGAATGAAAACACACAAATCAGAAAAGAGCTCACCTCTCCGAGAAACATAGCAGACAACACAACCGAGAAGAAAGGCTCCATGGCTTTAATGGTGTGAGTAAACGAAACGGAAACTTTCCCCAGGCTCATGTTAGTAAACAAATTACCAAGTGTGTGCACAACTGCAAGGGGCAAGATAGCCGCTAGCTATCAAGGTAAAAAAAAAAATCAGAGTGTGAGTAACATATCTCTAGAATAAGAAGCTTTTAAGCAATTAACAGTTTCCAGGAAAAACAAAAACAACACCTGAGCACCACTGATCTTCGGCCTCTTGTAGAGGTTAAGAGCCCACATGAAGGTAATGAGCACACTACCGACGGCAAACTGGACTAAAGTGACGGTCATTGGCGCGTGTAGAGCTTTCAAAACCTGTAAGAACCAGAACCCAGAAACTACTATTGGTTCTCTCAGAATAAACAACAAAGTGAGTAACCAGAATCAAATTTCTGAATCTTCCGTTCCTAATAAAAACAGATCAATCACTGAAATCAAGAGACTAAGCTAGACATGTACAGAAAGCGAAGCTTTGGATTAAAATTAAACGGCTTTCAAAACCTGCAGGAATAAGAAACCAGAAACTAATATTTCTCATCTCATAATCAAACAGTAAAACATAATCGGCAATTAGCGGGACGAAACTCTCGAGTTTCTCATGACTCTAAGATAATCAAAATCTCAATTCTTAATCCTATATAGATCTATGTATCTAATCAAAACAGATAAAACACTTAAATCTTCGGAATAAGCTAAACATGTACAAAAACTATTTCTGGTTAAACTAAACACTGAAATCTCCCAAAATCAAGCAATATAACAAAATATTAAGAATCAAATCAGCAATCAACAGAACGAATCCCTCTCGGTTTACATATGAATGTAAGATATAATCAAATTTCTCAACTCTTCATCCTAGACTTATCTCCCTTCCTGATAATACACGATTGAACATAAATGTGCACAATCTTTAATCTATCAAAATTATAAACTTATAACAGCTTGCAAAAACACTATGAACAGTTTAATCTCCAAACTGAATTAAAAATTTACAGAAAGTGAAATATTGGACTCACATTAAATCAAGCAGGGAAAATATAAACGCACCTGTTTATTGTAGATGTTGAAGTAGATATTGAAAAGGTACCAAAAAGCAAACAACAAGCCAAGCTCTAGAATCTTCGTCATTTTTCCACTGCTTTCTCCTTCCTCAGCGTTTTCGGGAACTGCAGTAGCAGCAGTTTTGAAACGGTTCATGTCCAGAGAAGGTGAGATCGAAGGGACATCGGACCAGGCACGAAGCGGCGAATCAGAGGAGGCGAGACGCCAAGATCGGTGAGACAAAGAAGGAATAGCGACAACATTTGGTAGAGAGACGTTGATATCGTGGAAGTTGGAAGAGGAAGAAGCGGTTACGGATTGGCGAAGAGAGAGACGCCGTGGTTTCAGGAGAGGAAGTGACGAGGAAAGGGAAAACACGGCGGAGCTCTGCATCATCTCGGCGTTGGAGATCTGAATTAGAGGTTGGTGGAAGATGAAGGCGTTGGAGACTCCGTCGAGTGGGTTGGTGGGGGCTGATACGAAAATTCTCCACGAGCAACTATGAAATAGGGAGGCGAGTGATATATTTATTGAAATGAAATGAGAAAGCGTTGTGTTTTTTTAACCTTACTGTCACAACAACGATAATTTATCTCTTCTCTTGGTTGAAAAGTCAGCCTTTTAAAAAACTTAAAAGGCTTTGCCGAAAAAAAACAATCCTCCTTCTTATTATCTAAGAGGTAACAATAGTGAAAAAACCTCATTTCTCAACATTATAGCCAAAATTAGTGCTTTTAATTGATGACATGTAAATATGACATGTTAAATTTCCTAAAATAAACGAAATATTTTTATTGGTTGAATTAAAATTATAGAAATTATAGAATTAAAATATAAATAAACTAGATTTTTATTTATAACATTAAAATTAACAAATTTAAATTAATAAAAAATAAAGTTATTATAATTTCAATTTTTTACATATATTCATAATTTCATAAAATATAATAACGAAAATTTTTCAATAATATATATAAATATATTATAATTTCTTATAAAATGAAAAATAATACTAAATTATCGAATAGAATAATAAAAATTCTATTTATTAATAGTACTTATAGTATGATATATTTTTATTTCGGAAAGTTATTAATTTACAAAATATATTAATAACATCTAAACAAGTTTTAAATAAACAAATTATTAAATAATATAATTTTAAATAAAATAGAATCATGATAAAAATAATTTAAAGAACAAAATATTAAAAATAAGAAAAAAATAATCAATTTTTATTGAACTTTTTTTTTAAAAAACGTAAAATAATTTTTCTTTTCAAACCAATATTTACTAAATGAATAAAGTATATACTAATTATTATTTTATAATATTAATAGGACCATATATTTTTTTATAACTTTTATCATCTTTTTATTGTTGTTTTCTAAAATGTACATAACTTATGTTACCATCTCCTCTTATTTCTTATTATATTTTAAATAGAAATAAATTATATATATATACATAAATTTATTTTCATTGTATATCAAAATTTTAAGAACATAAATAAAATAAAAACTAACCGAACGAAATCATAAATTTTAATAAGATGAAACAAAATGAATAAGAAATAAAAATAGAAGTATATAAAAAAAAATCTCCTGCACTTTGTTTTACAAAGTCACTTAATAACTTTTTAATACCTAAGAACCATATTTCAAATTTTTACAAATACGCGTACATACATAAATATTAATTATACGTTAGTTGAAGTCACATGTGAATTTTTTCGTGCATGTATTTTGTTAAGATTGATTACAGGCTAATTTTTATTTGAATTATTATATAATTTATATTTTTTAAAAATATTTATCTATTCTAAATGTAGTGATGAAGTTGGTATGTCCGCACATGCGTGCCAACCATCTATCCTCTCTTAAGAATAAGTAAAAATGGTAAAAACTATTTCAGTTTAATTTGCAATAAATAAATAAAAATATATACTTAAAATATATTATATATGTATTTGTAAATTTATATTATATAAGACGCAAAAAATATATTGTAGATTGTGTAAAGAGAAATAAATCATATTATAGAAATATTTAAAAAATATTAAAAAAATTTAATTATTATTTAACATAACTTTTATATTTGTGATTATATATTATTACAAGAATTATAAAAATAAAGTTTTTAAAATACATTGGTTTCAGAAAGAAGTTTGTGAAATATTAAAAAAATATATATATACAAATATATCAATGTTTAAAAAAACTAATTAATATTTAAATATTACAATTAACTATATATATATAAAAAAATTATACCGCACATATGTGCAGGCAACCACCTAGTATTAAACTAAGTAATAAGTTGTAGGAAGATGAGAATTCTATAAATAATTTTATTAAAAATGATTTTAAAATTATTTAAAATAAAAAAGTTAAGATACTTTTACTACTATAATTAAAAATATATAAGTTAATTATAAGATTTCATAATCAATTTTAGTAAATATTTTATACAGATATAATTATAGTTAATTAGAAAAGATTACGATTATAAAAATATCAACACTTAAGAAAATAAATTGTAATCCTAATTTTATTTTAAAATATTAAATTTATATAATGAATATACAAAACTAAATAATATATTTTAAGTTTAATATTACTGATTAATGATTAATGTAAAATAATATATAACTAAATTAATAATTATAAAATCTTAATTTTTTAATCTAATAAAAGTATTTATAATATCAACAAAATTTGACCACTTCATAATATAATCAAACTGAAATATTTATAATATTATATTTTCTAACACATTAAAGTGTTTTTAGTATTTCAACTTTTTAATATAATATTTTTTACTTTTTATCAAGTTTAAATATTTATATAATTTGGTTATTGTATATAATTTTATTAAAATGTCATATTAAATTAAATTTACTGTTTTTAAAATTTTATTAATATTTATGATCTTTTTTCTTTTTTTTTCTATTGATACTTTTTTATAATAATTTTTAAATTATCTACACATCTTTATTTGTAATATGAAATTTTTAAAATACACTCAAAATAATATGTATAAATCTGATTTAAATTATTTTAATTCAATTAGTGTTTATTATTATTTATTATAAATATAATTTCATATTTAGTCTAACTTATAAAAATTTCAATTGTAGAAATATCTATATTTAAGACACATAAATAATTTTAAATTAAATTTAATTTTAAATTATTAAATATACATAAATGATATATAAGTAATTATTTACTTTTTAAGTTTAATATTATTAATTAATTCCCTAAAATTATATATAGCCAAATTAATATTTATAAACTTTTAATTTTTTATCCAACAAAATAACTTATATTATCAACAAATTAATAAAATTATTATATAATCTTAACAAAATAATATTCGAACATTTTGACTAAATTATGTTTTTTATTAAAATATTAAAAAAATATTTTATTTAATATTTTAATCAAATGCAAATATTTATAAAATTATAATTTTTCATATATTAAACTATTTCTAATATTTCTATTGTTTGATATAATATTTTTTATTTCTTAATTAAGTTCGAATATTTATGTTATTTATTAGTTTATATAGTTTAAATAAAAATTCAGACTTAATGAAAACATATTTATATATTTATACATATTAAATATATTTTATTATTTTTACCGAAAAGAATTGTTATTTGTGCTGTTTTCATAATGATGAACTATCGATATCTCTTCATTTCTATTGTTATACTTTTAAAACATATAGATATTTATTTATTATTTAAATAATTTTTATTTAATTTTAAAATTTGAAATATAATATATGTACAAAAAATTTATATATTTATGTATCATATTGATGATATAGTGAATTTTTTTTTTACAACATCCCGTTTCATTCCGCTCCAGTAATAGTATCTTTTCAGATCCTGATACATCTTAGTAGAATCTGGATGAATGGTAAAACGTGACTGATGTGCTTGCATCAAAATTTCTTCTTTCAAGTTCTTATCATCTCGAACACATACTCGACCTTTAAAAACGAATGTCCTATTTTTCATAGTGTGATAACCTGCTACTTCCCTTTTTACTGCTTTCTTTAAAGCCACATCTTCTTTTTGCGCCTCGCAAATTCTCCAAAGCAGATCCACCTGGTTTACTGCCTCTAGACCCATAACACTTTCTTCTATAGACGCTGTACAAATGCTCAAACTGGCTAAGGTAGAAACAAGCTCTTGCACTTTTTTTATTCTGGACATATCATTTCTTTTCCTGTTCAATGGAACTGCTACCTGGTTAGCTTTCCCTGGATTATAAGCGATATCCAAATCATAATCTGCTAACAACTCCATCCATCTTCGTTGCCACAAGTTAAGATTCGGCTGAGTAAAAACATATTTCAGGCTCTTATGATCTGTAAACACTTGAACCTTCTCTCCATATAGATAAGCTCTCCAAACCTTAAGAGCAAAGACCACAGCTGCTAGCTCCAAGTCGTGGGTGGGATAATTAACCTCATGCTTCTGTAATTGTCTAGATGCATATACAATGACCTGCTCATCTTGCATGAGTACACATCCTAGTCCTGTTCCTGATGCATCTGTACTGTGAACCACATATGGTACACTAACTATCGGTAATACTAACACAGGCGTCTATGTTAAGTGGTTGTTAAGTTTTTCAAAAAATTTCTCACAATCTTTTGACCATTCGAACTTTGCATCCTTACATGTCAACTATGTCAGTGGCCTCGCTAAACTTGCAAAACCCTTCACAAACTTCCAATAGTAACCAGCTAAACCAAGAAAACTACGAATCTGAGTAGCGTTCTTTGGTCTTGGTCAATTAGTGATCGCAGTAATCTTCTCTGAATCTACAGCAACTCCTGATTCAGAAACAATGTTCCCCAAAAATCCAATCTACTTTTGCCAAAAGCTGCATTTCGCCCACTTAGCAAATAACCTCTGATCTCGCAACTTATGCAACACTATCCTTAAGTGTTCGACATGCTCTTCCTGACTCTTTGAGTAGATCAAAATATCGTCGATAAACACGATGACGAACTTATCCAGAAATTCTCGAAACACGTTATTCATGAGCTTCATAAATGCTGCATGTGCATTTGTCAGCCCAAAAGGCATCACCACAAATTCATAATGCCCATAACGTGTTCAGAATGCAGTTTTCCTCACATCTGCCTCAGCTACAGCAATCTGATGGTATCTTGACGCCAAATCTATCTTTGAGAACTATGATGCTCCCTGCAACTGATCCAACAACTCATCAATTTGTGGCAGAGGATACTTATTCTTAATGGTAACCTTATTAAGTCCACGATAGTCAATACAGAGCCTGAAACTTCCATCCTTCTTCTTCACAAACAGAACAGGCGCTCCCCATGGTGAACTACTTGGCCTCACAAACCCTTTGTTGCTAGTTCCTCCAATTGCTTCTTTAGTTCAGCCATCTGATGGGGCTAAACGATAAGGGGCTTTGGATATTGGAGCAGTTCCTGGCTCCAACTCAATCGTGAATGCATCTCCTCTTTCTAGTGGCGGTCCTGTGAGTGGCTCAAAAACGTCTGCATATTCTGCCACTATAGGTATGTCCTCCAAATTCACGCACGAATCTCCTCCTTCATTAGAGATAGTAGCCCCA